AGCTGCCAAGGGGATTTTTCTAAAGTATAAGTCTGACTCCATCAGCCCCTGCTCAAGGGGCTCCAGCTTCTCCAGAATCAGATAAAAAATCCTCTGTATGGCACTTAAAGCTCTTCACTCTGACCCGCTTGCCATTCCTTGAACAAACCCATTTTCTGTCTCAGTGCCTCTGCATTGGCCGTCCCCTGTGCCTGGACTGCTCTGCCCCCTCAAATCCATCTCTCACTTTCCCCGGCTTCTTTCCAGGGTCAAGTAAAAGCCAAACTTCCGTAGGAGGTCTTTCCCATCCCCCTAGCTACTAATGCCTTCCCTTTTTTCAGATCACCTTACATCTACTTAGCACATATCTTCTATGTACCTAGTTATTGACATGTTGTTTCCCCCATCAGAATATATGTTCCTTCAGGGCAGAAATTGTAGGTTTTTATTGTTATGGGGGGGAAGGGGGCAGTTGGCCTTTCTTTGTATCCTCAGCACTTTGATCGTGCCTGTCATGTAGTAAGCACTTAATAAATGCTTACACATTAACTGACTGACTTCTTTGGGCTTCTATTACTTCACCTGGAAAGTGAGGAGGATGGAAGAGACAATCTCTAACATCCCCTCAGTTCTAAATCTATGATCCTATGATGAACTGACATGTTGAGGTACTGAAGGATTGTGCCAAGAGAACTCACTTTATTTTATTACAATTCAGAATATGACTCCATAAAACATTTATTCTATACATTAAGTTACAAGCCAAGGCAGAGAGAAGCATCAGCTGGCAGACAGAGAAGAGTGTCTCTATGTTGTAAGAAGGATTCTGCAATGCATAATCATGCTGATTTCACAACCGATCCATCACTGGCCCAGGGGGATAGTATGTTGTGTTTTAGAGGAAGGGAGACCGATTTTGTCAATCTGCTGGTCTGGGCTAGTCTCAGATGGGTCTGAAACTATAGAAATTTTCCTTGTTCTTTGGTGCAGCCTTGGATAAGAACTGAGATAGAGGAAAGCAAAACATAGGTGATCGTGTACACTGAAATGAGGGCTTATTCTAAAATGGCATTTCTCATGCCAAAAAAGGGAAAATACACACTGGTCCTCATTATCTAGAGTCACAGATGGATGGTTGCAGAAAAGTTCCAAAAGAAAACTAGGTTCTGTGCTGTCATGACTTTGTCAAAATATTGTAGACTCGGGGAACAGATTCTTCTCTACCCTGAACCTACCAAGAACCTTACTCAGTGTTATAAACTATTAGATGTTTTCACAAGGTTTGATGTGAAACGTGCCAGAAAGTCCCTTCCCATTAACCTGCCAAGTTGTTTTTTTAAGAGCCATCCCCCTGTTCCTAGTTAAAATGAGAACATATAGCCAAGAATCAGCCACTAATACCCTAATACTAATTAATTAGCTCAATCCACTCATTTTCTGTTACAGGTTAGCTGGTATCAGGGCCCCTCAGCAATGGACACAAGTTAGGTATGCTTAGATGAGAAAGCCAGGGAAATATCTAAATTAGAAGGCACAGCTCAGGGAGGTCTGTCTTGGGTACAGCAGAAGGGTTTGGGAAGCCAGGAATATGCATGAGGGTGCTGAGTGTTGGGCATTAAAATGGAGAATGGGGTAAAAGGATCAAGAGTAGGGAGGAAGAGTGGTGATGCTGCTCAAGAAAATCAAAGAGAAAAAAAGATATCTAGATAGACACAGACATATAAATACATATTTATAAATATGTAAACATATTTATATATATACATCTATATATTTTATCATATTTATATTATTATATATATTTATATACATGTGTACATTATATATGTGTACTATGATATAAAGTTGTATATATAATACATATTTATAAATACATATATATCACTATATTCCAAGCAATAGTTACCTCAGCATCTAGTGCCCTCCCAAACTGGTTCATATTTAACTCTGTATTCATCTTGCATTTGTTCTCTCTCTCTCTCTTTCTTTCTCTTTCCTTTCTCTCTCTCTCTCTGTATACATATATCTATAAACATATATATATATTGTCTCCCCCAATGGAAAACAACCTCCTTAAGAGTGGGTATTGTTTCATTTATGATGTTAATATCCCCAGCACCTAGAATGGTGCCTACACACAGTAGGCACTAAATAAATGTGTTTGATTGATTGAGTGCTTTGTGCCAGCAAAGAACTAGAAACAAAGCAGGTATTTGTTGACCGGGGAGGGGTTGAACAAACAATGACAAATGAATGGAATGGAATATTTTTGTACAGTAAAAATGATGACTCTGAGGTATTCAGAGAAGCATAGGAAGACTTGTATGATCAGTGGGTGAGGAGGAAAATTCGTTTCCTCTCTCCAGGGAGGAAACATGATATAGAGACAGAGGGTATAGATGGGTTTATTTTTAAAAGGAAAAAAATTAATACAGATAACAATAATGTAAAAAAGTATTGCCCAGGAGAGAGGAAGAAAACAGCCCCTAGTGCCCAAAGGGTTCTTAAAAAAATACATGCAGAAGTGGATATGAGGAAGGGACAAAGGCGCCCAGTGGTAGGTTCATTTTCATTCAATGCTGTAGGCTGACTACAACTTCCTCTGACTTTTGGACTGTGATAATGACAAGCACGATTATTTTAAATATCAATTCCTGAGCTTCCATCACAGCTTATCCTCGATCCGTGAGCATGACTCCTAGAGACTGACTTTATAAGGTGCTTATCCCAGCATTTAATTCTGAAATATTATGGCAGCAGGAGCATCAGGACAATATCCCCTGCCATGACAATCCTTACAAAGAGCATCAGGCTCTTCTGACATTCGATGGTCCTTCTGGATCATCTTGATTCAACCAAGGGAAGTGATAAACATGGGTCCAAAAGCTGGACAAATTTAGTCTGGCAGTGACCCAGATTTCACATAACAAATCTGAAATAAGTCACAGGTCCTAAATCTGATTTGAGGTTGTATTACAAAGCCAGCCTTCCATTAGTGGCGGTAATGGGGAGTTGCTGATATTCCCAAAGCTCATTTTGGCTTGGGGTCCCCTCGGGGCTATTTAGCAGGAAATCACAAAGCAGAGGTGAAAGGAATCTCAGAAGGCAATTTAGTTCAACTCCCTTATTTTACAAATGAAGAAAAAGAGCCATCACTTTTTCTACTCTGCCACATTAAAGGATCCATGATCTTCTCAACCTGGGTGTTCCCAGGGTATAGTTAACAACTTAGACACTTGGAGGGAGGGGGGGGAGAAACAACAAAGCACACCTGTGGCCCCTGCTGGAGGCTTGGGTGGAGCTCAGTTGGGGTACCGCCACAGGTTGGTGGGGGAAGGGGAGGAAGGATAACTACCCATTTCTAGATTCCTATTTTAACTAATTCTTCTCATTAATCAGGTCCTGCTCAGCCCTGTTAATCCTATGCATAAATTTAGTGTCCTGGCATAAGATCCAAGTTGTCCCTTCCTAGTTGAGACTTTGGCTACAAATGATAACCTCCACATTCCTTCTTCCTCTATTTTATATTCTCATCCACTACCTTTGTGTAAATCCTCCTACAAGCCCTCCTCTGGTTCTCGCTTACTTAAGGGTGCCAATGTAACACTTGGGATATCTACCTCTTGTCTCTCATTCTCACTACTTGACCAGTCCAAATACTGTCCCCGGAACCTCTGGTTAGGGTATAGGAATCTGTGGAGGGATATGAGACGGAGGTGGGGTACATTAAAAGGAGGAAAGCTGACCCACACTGAAATGCTGACTTCAGACAATACACAAAAAGCAAATATACCAAGGGAGAATCGTCCACTTGTTATTGAAATATCAATTAAAAATTGAATCAGAAGAAAAGAGAATGAATTAGTAGGAGTAGATGAGGCTCAACGTTGAGTCCTTAAATAATATTCCTGGTGAAAAAACCACCCGGTGAAGGTCCTTGCATTCCCATGATTGTTTCATGGTACCGAGCCTTTCAAACAATAATACAAAAATGTGTTTTGCACATTAACCAGTTTCCACAACAACTGGCCTTAATAAGATAGCAAATAGAGCTATAATTATTCATTTTTTTGTACCTGAGGCAACCAGAACAAACCACACCCCAAGTAAGAAGCATAAAATGCACCCTCAGTCAGAAGTGGAGGGAAACAGAACCTTGCCCGGCAGGGAGGGATCAGAGCCCCTGAGATGCTGGAATGTACTGATTTTGGAAAGAAGCAGGCCAGGGCAAGGAAACAGCTCACCCTAGCATATCATCTACTGGCTTCTGATTTTAATTAATTATCCTTACCAACCAGTTACTAAGTTGTTGTCTATTCACTGCTGAAACCCTTGTCACCACCTTCTGGGGCAGAACTCTACTTGCCCCACCCTAGTTAAGCTCTGACAGAAAAGCATCTCATCATTGTATGCCCTGGAAAAACTATACCAGGAGAAGTTGAAGGAAAAGTTTAAGCAGTGTCTTATACAGAACAGGTATTAAATCAAAATCTAAAAATCAAATTTAATATGGCCAAGATTACACACATCAGAAACCAGGCCTGGTGAGTAGCAACTCCCAGAGTCCTCTTTAAAAGGAGTAAAAAACAAACCACAACCAGGCCAGCTCAAATCCCTCTCAGAGCAGTAATTATTAAATACTTAGCAAATGTTAAATGCTATCAAATGAGATTACACGTGCATAGTGTTTTGCAAACCTTAAAGCTCTATGTAAATGCAAGTTATTATTATTGTTGTTATTAAACATAAGAAAACATTTTGCAAACCTTAAAGCACTTTATCAATGTTAGTTATTATTATTATTATTGTTATTATTATTATAGCTTCAACTGATAGAATATCACGAAGCTCCCTTCCCCACTGATTGAAACCAAAAAGGGAATGGAGTCAAATCAGCAGAAAGAATGAAACTTGCCTCTTTCCTCCATCCATGTCAAAGCAACTGCCATAACACAAGTTCAAATAAAAGGCACACACAAGACAGCTTAGAAGGACTATCGGAAAACAGCCATTTACAATACCTAAGAATAGCTTGGGATTCCTCCTTTTGGGTAAGACGCCACCAGATGCCCCTGTTACTTTCTGGGGGGGAAAAAGAAAAGTGAGAAGATGCACAGTTGAAATCCAGCCTGTGGTGCAAACAATGTTTAAGTAACATAGATGAGCCCGAGGAGACATAACACTTTACAGAGGACCAGGAAGAAACATCTACACTGCACAGGACATTCCAGAGGTGAAGGAGGGCTCCGGGGGCCAAGGAGGATCCTAAGTGGGATGAGCTGACTCACAGAATTTTAGAACCAAAAGGGAATTTAGAGACCACCCAGTCCAGGCCACAACCAAGTTGCTGGGGACCTCCAAGAGGGCAGTTAATGCATTCCAGCTGTCTATGTTTTAAATTCTAAGATGACTTCTTGTCTCTAATAAATAGGAATGAACCCTATGATGGAGTTGAGTCCGTTAAGCACTAATGTTTTAGGGGCCTTTCCATATAAATTACAATTTTTTTTGTGGTATCATGAGGAAAATATGAGTGTTTTAAAACAGTGGTGCCTTACTGAACTAGAAACAGGGGCCACCAAACCATACATAAGGATCCCTTCATGCTGCATGTTGACTTAGAAAACCACAAATACAATAGAACATCATCTATGTTCTATTGTATTTTTGTTTATTTTTGTTAAATATTTCCCAATTACATTTTAATCTGGTCTGGGCCCCACTTAGGAGTGTTGCAGGCCTCAATACCTACTAGGCCTGGGTTGACACCTCTGTTTTAAAGTATTAAACTATTTTTTTAAATTTTTGTGTAAGTTTTTTTCCATAACATAGTATAATAAAAGATTGCACATGAAATTGAAAATCTGCTATGTACAACCTGCTGTTCCATTAACATATACAATAAATTTATATTATATATATAATTTATATATAATAATTTTTCCCTTTTTTCTCCTTTTTTTCTTCCCTCCCCCTATTATGTTGTTGCTTTGTACACTTTAATTTTGTATTTTAGCGTTGTATCATGCATGAAGAGCTTGAAGGACCTCAGAGTCTAATCCACTCATTTCATTTTACCAATAAAGAAACTGAGATTTAGTGAGTTGCCCAAGGTCACAGAGGTAATAAATATTAAAACATAAAAATAAGTCCCAGGATCATAAATTAAAAGCTGTAAGGGAACTGAGAGGCCATAGAGTTCAACACTTTCATTTTACAGAAGAGGAAAGTGAAGCACCGAAGAGTGACTTGCCCAGGGTCACACAGCTAATAAGTATCTAAAGGGGGATTTGAGCATAGGTCTTCGCGACTCCAAGTCCAATTCTTTTAAATCATTAATAATCCAACTCTCTGAGACTTTAAGCTTTAAAGACTAAGTTACTGATGAGTCTTGATCTCTGCAGCAGGGAGTACCCCACAGTGATGAAACCACAGACCCATATCACCCTCCACCCCCCTACACACACACACACACACACACACACAGGCAGCAGATTTTTATAGTTATAAAGGAATAATTGGATTCAGAAAATATAATAATTGAGAGCACAGGATTTGGAATGGGATATCTCCTAATTCAATCTCTTCATTTTATGGATGAGGAAACTGATGGCCAGAGAAAGGAAGTGACTTGCCCAAAATTACACAGATAAGTAATAATAGAAACAGAATTTGAACCCAGGTCTTCCAATACCAAATCCTACTCCCTTTTTCCTTTGCTACCTGCCTTTCATCAATTATAATCTGAATGAAAACATAAATTTAAAATCAAGGAAAATGAATTTTAGAAAAGCCAACTATCAAATTTTAAACTGTTGACATAATACTATTTTCCCACAAAATATAAACAATAGTTTCACATATTAGCTATACAAGAGAAGAGAAAGAAGGGAATGGAAAAGAAAAGGGAAACCATATCAATCAATCATCAAGCATGCATTAAATACTTATTGCATGCCAGGTACTGGAAACAACTGATTGATTTGTTGATGTGATATATAATATAATAGCAACATTTAGCTATAAAATACGTAATAGAAAAGTTATGAGACATTAAAACCAATAAATCTCCAAATAGTGAGTGGTCCATATGGGATTGGAGATTTTGAGCTAGAAATTGACCTTGGAGAACATTAAGTCCAAAATTCTTATTTACAGAAGGGGACTAGAGCTTAAGTAATTTGTTCAAGATCACATGGTAGTTAAGGACCAGGATTTGAACATGGGTCCTTTGACTTCAAATCCACTAGGTGGTATATTACCAGCATGCCACACTACCTCCCCAACACAAATAATTTCTATTAAATACTGGTTCAGATATATAGAAGTACTATTTATATTTTCCACATAAATTTCAAACACAGAAAAGGTGTTTTTTTTAAATGCTACAACTATAGCTTTCATGGCTTAAAAACTAAACTAAGACTTTTAGAACATCCTGGGTTTTTTTTTTAATTAAAATATTTAGATACAAATATTTATTTTGGATTACTTACTATCTCTTAAACATTATATAAATTATTTTAAACAGAATCTTGCCTTATGACATATAGTTATATTATATGTGACTATGTACAAAATGTAACTTGGGAAAGCCTAGAACATGTGGAGGTCAAAAACAAGACATCATACTATGGGCTGATGCAGAGAAACAAATGGTTTCTTTTCAGTGGGGAGGGAAAGGCAATCTGGGTTAAGTGACTTGCCCAGGGTCACATAGCTACTAAGTGTCTGAGGCCAGATTTGAACTCAGGTCCTCCTGATTCCAGGCCCAGTGCTCTACCTACTATACCACCTAGCTGCCCCAAACAAATGGTTTCTAATATGGCCTGCACATGAAGCACCAATTTAAAAAGCTAAAGGGCTTGCCTTGAAGTCAGGATGACTTGAGTTCAAATTCTGCCTCTGACATTCAATCACAGTGTGATCGTGAGTAAATCACTGAACCTCTCTGGGCCTCAGTTTCCTCATTATGAAATAAGGATGATTATATCTGTGGTACTTGCCTCACAGGTTGCTGGGAAGCACATTCATTCAAAAAGCACCTAATTAAGCACCTACTACTGCAAGGCACTGTGCTACATGCTGGAGACCAAGAGCAAATGAAAAAGTGTTCCTGCCCTCAAGGAGTAATCTATTGCACCTCAAATGAGTCAATCTATGTCAAGGGCATTGCAAACCTGAAAGCACTATGTAAAATATAAATTATGATTATTATTATTATTATTTCATAGGATCACAGCTCTCAAGCTGGAAAGAACCTCTGAGGCCATCTGGCTCAACCTCCTGCTTTTGGAAACTAAGTGGCTTGCCCAAAGTTATATGAGGAGGGTTTAGCTTCCACAAATAGAAGCCAAATTGGCTTTGGCTTTTTACCTGATTCATTTATGCTACTCTTGGGCACATTTCTAGCGTGCCTGGTGGGCAACATGGCACCAAGTAAGTCTGGAGTAGAGAAGAATACAGAAGGGAAAGGGAAAAGGAGCCTCGGAGAATAAAAACGTGGAAGCTTGAGAGTTTTCCACCTGTCACCCCACCCCGAGCAAGACGGTTGTCTTAGGTAGGATGGAAGGGCAGCCGGTCTTTTCACACCCCCTTTCAGGAGCCTCCAACCTCTGAAACTCAGCATTGTGACTCCTCAGCTCTTTACATTTACAGTCATCTCTCAATTATCTCATAAATCAAAGATAGGCATGAGAGAAAGAAATGAAATATACAGCTAATGCATTTTAGTTTCAACCTCTTCTCTCATGAGAAAATTTTTAGCACAAGCCTACTTGCCACTGGATAGAAGGGCTGGTGACAATGAAAAGCCAATCACCTAAAAACAGGAATAGATGAAGGAAAAAACTGAGACCTGAACTTAAATAATACAAAAACTGATTACTCAGTTGTAGAACAACTAAGGCCTAAGATACAGATAGATGAGGAATGGGGGAGCTCCTCAGACATGCTCAGTTCTTTGAGATCTGATAACTATATTATTATATTAATAATAATAATAGCCTACATCTACATAGCACTTTGAGGTTTGCAAAGCACTTTACAAATCTTTTTATCCTCACAACAACTCTTGGAGATGGGTGTTTTATTATCCCTATTTTACAGATGAGGAAACTGAGGCATAAAGTGATTTTTTTTTTTTCCCCCAGGGTCATACAACTATAAGTATCTGAGGCTAGGTTTGAACTCAGGTCTTCCTGACTCCAGAGAGTGACATCGAGACCCATAAATAAGCCCACTCTGATCACAAAGACATCAGACTACTGACTGACTGCTAGACATTCAGATATCCTCCAGGGGGCACTAGACTATCTTCTACAATTTCATTAAACGGGCGGGCTGGGGAATGATGAGTAGGCCATCTAAGTTACAACACTTGTGAAAATCTAGATTAAGGTTGTCCTCAATGGAATGACCCCAAGACACCTTCACAGACCTGACTTTGGATCCACACTGATGACTTTCACTGGCCTGACCCAGGATCATAGAATGCTAGAACTTAGAACTGGAAGGGACTTTAGAGTTTATGCTGTCTAATCACCTCATTGTACAGAACAGGAAACTGAGGCTCAGAGAGTTCTCTTGACTTGACTAAGCTCAAACAGGTAGAATTCATAGGATCATAACAATCCCTTGAGAACTGGACAAGACCATAGAGGCCACGGAGTCCAACTCGTTCATTTTACAGATGAGAGAACTGAAGCTGTCACTGGTTAAGTGACTTGCCCAAGGTCATGCAGTTGGTAAATGTTGGAGGCAGGATTTGAGCTCAGGTCTTCCTGACTCTAAGGCCTGCCTTCTATCCACTATGCCAACCCAGATGGTCAAGTACAAAGTCCAATGCTGCTTCCAACACACCACACTCTAAGCCCAATACTTTTCTTGGCAAAATTTCAAATTGCCAGGACAGCAATATAGGGCCTTGAAGGACATCTCAATATCACATACTCAAAATTAATGTCTCCCTGTAACAAAAGGTATTCTATTTTCCCTAAAATCCCTTACTTCAGAAAAAAACACAATGGTTCTAAAGGCAATTGCAACTTTCAATATAGATTTTTTTAAAGGAATTTAAGAAG